GCACAGAGCAAATATCCGGGGGGAAGCTCTAAAGTGGCACAAGCTTGGTTTCTCCATTTACCTCTGCAGGCTCTCAGCGCAGGGCAGTGACAGCAAATCACACACTGCCCATTTCTCACAGGTGTGCCAAAACATTCCACTGGGCACTGCCTCCTCCCTGGGTGCAGTCTGCACTCGCAGTTTTCCTGGGAGAAGACACCTTTCCCATCCAAGCCCCCTGGCTGGCTGATGCACAGCTGTGATGCCATCAGACCTCCACGGGACCATCGGGACTCAGACTGCACCAGGCACTTGGAAACAGTTATGGAGGCACTGCCTGCAGAGCTCAAAGAGAAACACATTGATGTCCAGCACACGAAATTGCCCTTCCTGCTCACTGCTGTGTCCCACTCCATCTGCCACATTCCTAAATGCCTGATTTATCCTCCTAACAGCACAGGCTGGTTCGAAGGTGTCGGTGAAAGGAAGGGCTCAAATTGCTGGAAACGATGTTTCTAAGCAGCTTTTTTAGAAACATCACTCTCCAGGGATCTCCAGGTCTCTGCCAAGAACATGCATAGGAGAGCCAGAGAACGTTCAGGGGGCGCATGCTCGAGTGTGCTGCAGCAAGCAGCAAAGACAGATGGATGGCAAGCAGAGGTGAGAACCCATCTGCTTCTGCAGGACCTCTCTGGCATCTCCCGAGGGACTGCAGGAAACCATGACCAGGGATAACCCAAGCAGGCTCGCTGCTGTCCCCCAGCTTCATCTGAGACCAAAGCGTTCCACTGAGGAGATGTTCCAGAGAGGGACAGGAAAGGGTGGCAGGACAGCTCCTCGGGGATGAGCATGCTTTGGCTGAGCTGAGCATTGCCCTGACCTCTTGTCTCTTACAGGGAGCACAAGGCAGACATTTTTCAAGTGAAAATTGCCTGAGGCTTTGTGTCCCCCTCCTCTAAACTGTGCAGCAGCTCAGATATCTTTTTTCACAAGGCACTGGGCAGAGAATTGGCCTGCACCATTCTGTCCTGTGCTCAGGGCTCCACAGCCCACTAAGCCCGTTCTCTGCCAGGAGGAATTGCCTTTGTGCTCTGCACATGCAGACAATACCCAGAAACCTCCTCCAGCAACTGCAGAGATGCAGGCTGCTGTCGGAGAGAGCTGTGGGTGGGCATGAATGAATGAGGGAATGAATGAGCCGTTTGCTACTACTGGCATGAGAAGCTCCATGATTTTCAGACGAGTAATCCGTGGTTGTAAGCATGGCTGCAGTGGTAGGTGCTCACTCGCAGGCAGAGGTAGCTGGAGCACACGGCTGCCTCTCCCAGCACAGTCCAGGCGGCAGCCCGGAGTGCTGAAGGATGGATGTGCCCACACGGTGACAAAATCCTGCGTCAGCACCCGAGCAGTCCTGCTGGGGTTTTGCCTGGAGCATCAGGCAGAGCGCAGGAGGGTTTGCTCGGCTGGCCCAGCAGAGCTCACAGCCATGAGGAGCTCTGTTCTGTCACAGCCACACCTCAGTCAGCTTGGCTGAGGAACAGAGGGGTGAACCATGGCCACTGCAGTGGGGAGCAGCCCTGGAACACAGCACCTCCTCTCAGCAGCTCCCTGACTTCCACCCTTTCCTTCAGAGCCCAGCTCCACCTTTCTCCTGGAGACTGCAAGAAATGAAGGTCTAAATGTGCCTGGAAAGGGGTGTGTGAGGGACCAGGGAGCAGGACAGATCTTCTGCAAGCCTCCCAGCCTGATATCCTTCCTAAACAGTCACTTTTGAAGCAGCCAAATCAAAGCTGCTCTCATGTTCAGAGGGGATAGTGCTTCACCTTTTCTGTCCCAGTGCCATTAGGGCTGGCTGGGTCCAAAGGGCTCATGGACTAATGAGCATCCCCATAAGCACTGACAAAGCCTTTCTTTTCTTCAGCTCCCCTGGAATGCCACAGGAATCCCGCAGCTGAAGCAGCCTTCCTGAGGGTCTCAGCAGGAAGCACCAGGAGACAGGACCACCACTGCAGGCTGTGAGAGGTGGGTTTGGAGGAGCCGTGGGCCAGCCTGGCTCTGCAGAGGGCAGCTCACCAGTGGATGCCCATTGCACAGTCTGGGTGATCCAGAGGAGGTGGGTACTGCACTCACGGAAAGAGCCGGGAAGTAGGTCAGCAACGTTACTGAGGGAATTAGGGAGTTTTAGGGAGAACTCCATGACTAAAACTCGAGTTCCACTGCTTACTGGTGTGGTGACTGGATCTCAGTGTGCAGGGTGAAAAGCACCAGCAGGGACTGTGTTTGCTGCCACCATGGCAATTTCTCCTGCTCACACTACCCTTTTGCCATGCCAGCTTGTGCAGTGCCTTGCATCCTGCAGCCGCTGCCAAGCCAAGTGCCACTGGACACATCCATGGCTCTGCTCAGCCCCTGAGCCCAGCACAGCACCGGGCGTGCTGCGCTCATTTAGCCGTGCTCATTTTACATCCATGGCCCTGCTGGGAGAACTGAGTACCATCAAAGTGCCACACATGGCCAGATGCAAATTTATCCCTCCTCTAAAGGGTTTTAAATCAAAAGAGGGGAGGCAGAAAATCGGAGTTAGTTATTGGACACAAAATCCTGCTTTTTCTAAGCCAAATTCCCATATGGAAATGCCTTTCATTCCATATATAGGCAATAAGCACTTAAAGTGAGACCAAAACTAAATCACACCCATAACTACTGCAACACTAATTATAAATAGCTGGATTGTTGGTTGGTCTGCTTCACAAAGGAGTTTTGTGACACTGTCCATGTCTTACCCCACACGTTGAACAGACCAATTTAGTTTCCCATCTCTGCTGAAGGGCACAGTGGTGCAAAAATCTTCCCAAATTTTTTTTTTTTTTTGAAAGCAGGTAAGAAAAGCACAAATTAAATTCACAGGTAAAATTCCAGGTTGCTGTCTTCCCAGTGGTGACCAAATTACAGGCAGAGCTGACATGGCAAGAGAGAGAGGGTGTAAGAGGGTGCAGGAGCTACAACAATGTCTCTGCTTCCCCACAGCTCTTGTTGCACCCAAGGGTCTGGGCACAGAGGGTTCATCAAGGTCTCTGAGTACTTGCACACCAGTGTGTGAGTTATTAGCCCTAGTCCTATTTTAAGTTCCCAAAGTCACAGAGTTTTGCCTGGAGCGTGGGACAATGGGTTCGTCTGCTCCTTGCTGGAGCCAGCGAAGGGTGGAGGAGTCATTCAGGCATGGTGAAAGGGGAATTGCCCACAGGAAGGACACTTTGGTCAGCCTGAGGTGCTGCAAGTCCTTCTGTGCCAGGCTGCTGCCTTCCCCGAGCACGAGGACCCTCCTGTGGGGTCAGGAGGCTCCGTGGGGTCAGGAGGCTCAGTGGGGTCAGGAGGCTCTGTGGGGACAGGAGGTTCTGTGGGGACAGGAGGATCAGTGGGGTCAGGAGGCTCAGTGGGGACAGGAGGCTCTGTGGGTTCAGGAGGCTCTGTGGGGACAGGAGGTTCTGTGGGGACAGGAGGCTCAGTGGGGTCAGGAGGCTCTGTGGGGTCAGGAGGCTCTGTGGGGACAGAAGGCTCAGTGGGGTCAGGAGGCTCAGTGGGTCAGGAGGCTCTGTGGGGTCAGGAGGCTCTGTGGGGACAGGAGGCTCTGTGGGGACAGGAGGCTCTGTGGGGTCAGGAGGCTCTGTGGGGACAGAAGGCTCAGTGGGGACAGGAGGCTCTGTGGGTTCAGGAGGCTCTGTGGGGTCAGGGGGCTCTGTGGGGACAGGAGGCTCTGTGGGGTCAGGGGTGAAGGTCAGGCCAGCTCCCAGGAGGGTCCCAGCCCACCCAAATGCTCCATGCCTGTCACCCCATGTCCCCTGCTGACCCTGGCCACACTCTGAGGATGTGAGAGGGGAGAACGTCAGCCCGGGGCCTTGGGATGCTCCTGACCTCCTGCCTCCCCACAGCTGCCATGGGCAACACTGGGGGCAGACACAGCAAGGCTCTTCTTGTACACATGCACAGACACACAGACAGACACACAGACACACACAGACACACAGACAGACACAGGCACACACACAGACACACACAGACACACACAGACACACACAGGCACACACACATAGACACACGGACAGACACACAGACAGACACAGACACAGACACACAGACAGAGACAGACACAGACACACACACACACACACACATACACAGACACATACACAGACACGTACACACATACACAGACACACACACAGACACACAGACACAGACACATACACACACACAGACACACACGCACACACACACATACAGATACACACACACAGACACATATACACACACAGAGACACACAGACACACAGACACACACACACGTTTCCCTTCTGTCCATCTCTCCCAGGGCTCCCTCCCTCCTGACGGGTGCAGATGGGTTCAGGCTGCAGCTCGGCCGGGGGACGTGGGCAGGAGCTGACGGGCCAGGGTGCGGTGGGCTGTGCTGCTGTGCTGGGGGCAGGCAGGGCATGGATGGGAACTGTCCGGGGCAGGGCTAGGGGCAGGCAGGGCGTGGATGGGGACTGTGCTGGACAGGACAGAGCAGGACTGGGGGCAGGCAGGGCATGGATGGGAACTGTCCGGGGCAGGGCTGGGGGCAGGCAGGGCATGGATGGGAACTGTCCGGGGCAGGGCTGGGGGCAGGCAGGGCAGGGCTGGGGACTGCCCCAAGCGGGGAGGGCAGGGCTGCTGGGGGTGGGTCCGCAACCAGCCCTGCCTTTCAAAGTCCCTCGATGCGAGGAGGAATTCGGGAAATATTTCCAGCAGCGGGAGGACGAGGAGGAGGAGGAGGAGGAGGAGGAGGAGGAGGGCTGAAGCGGCTCCCCAGGAGGAGGGACGGCGGGTCCCTCGCTGCGGAGGGATGCGCAGGGAGGGGAGGCTGCCTGCGGGGCGGGCCGGCTGAGCGCATCCCCGCGTGTGTGCGTGTGTGCGCGCGTGTGTGTGTGTGTGTGCGCGCTCCCTCCATCCATCCCTCCATCCCTCCCTCCCTCCCTCCCTTCTCCCTCCCTCCCTCCCTCTCTCCCCGCCGCCGCACCGCGCACCGGGGCTCCGCCGCCCGCCCGCCGCGATGCCCCGCCGCTGCTGAGCCGGCCCGGCGCCGCCCGCTGCCGCTGCCCCAGGTAGGACCGGACCGGCCCGGCCTCCGCTGCCTCCCGCCCGCCGCCCGAGTGCCGGCGAGGCTGCCGCGGGCGGCGCGGGGACCCGGGGCCGTGCGGAGCGGTGGGAGGCGGGGGTGGGATGCTGGCGCTCGGGCACACACCCGGGAACGCTTTACACAGCCCAGCCGCGGCTCCTCAGGCGGGCGAAGGGGCTCTCCCTCCGCCGGCGGCCAGTCGCGACATGTCGCGCCGGGAGGCGCGGCTGCGGCGGGGGTCGCTTCTCCGCTAGCCCGAGAGCCGGCAGTGCCGGGCAGGTGGGGCTGGGCAGGGCTGGGGCGCATCTCCTGCCCGGGGGGCTCTGGGCACATCTCCATCCCGGGGGGCTCGGGGCACATCTCCTTCCCGGGGTGCTCTGGGCACATCTCCCTCCCGGGGGCTCGGGGCACATCTCCTGCCCGGGGGGCTCCGGGCACATCTCCTGCCCGGGGGGCTGTGGCACATCTCCTGCCCCGGAGGCTGTGGCACATCTCCCTCCCTGGGGGCTCTGGGCACATCTCCCTCCCGGGGGCTCGGGGCACATCTCCCTCCCTGGGGGCTCTGGGCACATCTCCATCCCTGGGGGCTCTGGGCACATCTCCCTCCCGGGGGGCTCTGGGCACATCTCCCTCCCGGGGGGCTCTGGCACATCTCCCTCCCGGGGCTGTGGGGCTGTGGCACATCCCGGGCGCGGCGGGAGCGGTGCCGCCGCCCGCGGGGCTGTGCGTGTCTCCAGGCAGGCAGGGCTGCTTCCCCCGCCTCCGAACGCTGCCCCAGCCCCGTGCTCGGGGGCACCTGCAGCACGCCGAAATCCCCATGTTCGTCTGGAGCAGCGTGCGGTACTGAGGGCTGGCATTAAGCAGCGCTCATCACGTAGGCTTTGTCTAGGTGGAAGCATGGCTGGGGCTCTTCCGTCATCTTGAGTTTAATTCTCTATTCGCAGCCTTGTTGCTTCCCTCCCCGCCGAGCCGCGCAAAGCGACTCCACGCTCTGCTCTGTCTCCACGGCGAGAGCAAACTGCCAAAATGTTGCAGAAATGCAGCAAGCAGCGGGGAGGACCGGAGTCTGAAAATGAAAGCTGTAGTAAAATCACAAGGTCACGGGCGTGTGGGTGCGAGCGGGTGCTTTCAGGGCTCCTTTTCGCTTGTGCTTTGCGGGAACCTGTTCATTCCTCCAGTCCCAGATGTTGCAAATTCACAAGTCAGGCAATGGAAACGAAAGCTGAGAGAGGCTGGGGCTCTCTGTGTGCTCCCCTGGCACCTGCCTAGGAATTCAGGTGGTTTTTGTCACCATTGCAAAGAGAAAGGGTGTGCTTTTGTTTAGAAGAGGGGAGCTGGGACACTTGCATATTGATGTGATGGTAGCATCCAGGAAAAAAAGAGCTGTGCTGTATGGCTTTGGCTGGGGACGTGGCTATGATCAAAAAAAAAAAAGCATTTGTGATCCTTCCTTGTGATCCTGTCTATTAGCTGTTCCTTTCTCCCCTTTTCCTTCTGGCTGGTTCTTCAATAGCAGCTTTGCCCCCGTCCAGCACACACATTAAGGCCAAATAGGGGAATAATGTAACATTTCTACAACCATCACCTGCCAGCCAAGCCATGAACCCCCACCACCAACTCCCAGGAAAGCTGTCTGACTCCTCTTACCAGCTCTGTTGACGTGGACAATTCCTAAGGCAGTGCTGAGGAGCCACGTTGGTCAGAGCTTCCTCTCCACCAGGCTTTGCATTAAGATACCAGAGGAGGTTGGACGTAGCCTCTGTGTCCAGCACCCCTGAGTGCCAGCACTAGCACAGTTCTAACCTGATAAAACTTTGCTTGCTTCTCCTTCCCTCACTTTCTTTAAGGTTTTTGTATTCTATTGGCTGTGAATGGCTCCTGAAACTGAAATGTTCACTGTCCTGTACCTGCCCAGGCTGTGCCTTGGCTTCTCTCCTGGCACTGCTGCACATGACACGGCACAAACTTTGGTTTATGTCCTTGCTCTTGGGAGCCTGTACAGCACCTTAAATGATGCTGTATAGGCACAGCCACCTCTCTGCCTTTTGCAGTGCTGTGATATGCTCAGGGCGTTCAGGGTTGTGATTTTCTGGTGTTGCATCTGGGTCAGAATTTGGGTTTTTGCTGTGGCTTTGAGGGGATACAGTCCTGATTGCTCACAGGGATAAAAAGTCCCCGTTCTCCAGCACCCTAATGAAAAGTAGATCCTGTAATAAAGCCCAGTGCCCCACAAGGTCCGAGCATTACTGGACAGCCAACCACCAGGTTGGTCACAGACAACACGAGTGCCAGTGGCTCTCCTTGTGACTGGCACGGGGAACACCCTGGAGCTCTGTCCAAGCTCTGGGTGCTGGGATCTGCAGGTGCTCCCAGCTCCTGGACACCAGTGCATGCAGCTGTGCAAATCCTGGCTGCACCTGGGCTGCTGCAGGCTGCTGTGCTCTGGATCCTCCGGCATCCTCTGTGGGCTGAGCTGCCTGACCACGGCCTTTCCCTTGCCAGGGTGTGAGTGGTATCCCTCCAGCTGCTTTCAGGAGCCTTGGAGGAACTTGGCTTTTGCTGTTATCTCTATCCCTCTGGTGATTGCAACTGAAGTTGGAAAGAGGGGGGAACGACGTGAACAGACAGGCAGGCATGGAAACTGTGATTGCATGTGCCTGGCTTCCTTAGGAAACCTGGCTACAAATAGCAGTGAGATTTGGTGCTGCAAAGAGCTCCTGAGGAGACAGAGGAGGTAGGGGAGTCTGAGGAGAAGGAAGGGGTGGCTAACCTTGTGTTTGAGATCGGTGAGGAAGGCCTGGCGCACACCTGGGCTTAGAATCCCTTGCCTGAGGTCTGGGGGTCTAAAAGCTGTCCATCTGCACTAGCATCCAGCTCCCTCTAGAGTCAGCCGTGCCAGAGCTGTGCCTCTGGACCTGGCCCTGCTGGGAGGTGCTACCGCCCTTCCCCAGCCAGGAGCAGTCACACGGATGGATGGAGCATGGCAGGGTGAGCCCCCAGCCCAGCCCACCCTGCCCAGCTCCTGCCTGCTACCATGCCTGAATTGCTGAATTGAACATCAGGTCAGCAACCTGCATTTGCATTGGTCTTTCCCCACACCCATCCCTATGGACACCTCCACCTCTTCATCCCTGGATGGTCTGAGGGAGCTGGGGATGAGGATTTATCTCCTCTCCCTTGAAGCCTTCTGCTCCTGCAGGGCCCAGGGGAGCATCCCGCTGCACAGATGCAGCTACAAACCCAGTGCAAAAGCAGTCCCAGAGGAAAGAGAGGACACAGGCCCAGGGGAAAGCAGTAGGCCTGTTAATGCCTCCCTTCTGGCCCCTTTGGGGCACCTCTGGGCAGATACTGCCTCCCCAGGCTGCCAAGAGGCTCAGGCTCGTCAGCAGTGTTTTATTCTCCCAGCACTCAGAGGAGATGCTCTTCCCATTTCACCCAGAGACGGGGAGCACAGGGCGGTGCTGGGCTGCCCTGGGATCACACAGGAGCGTGCCAGCCAGGCAGCCTCAGGGCTGGCTCGTGGAGAACGGGCAGCCTGTGCTCAAAGCAGCAAGGGAGATGCACAGGCAGAGAGGAAGGCATCAGAGACCCAGGAGGAATCACAGGAAAGAGCCTGATGCTGCTTGATAAAGAAGAGACCAGAAGCAGGTGGTAAGGGTAAAGAAATGCTCTGAAGACAGCAGCAAGTGGGAAGACAGTTGTTTGAAAAGCAGACAAACAAACAAACAAGCAAACCCCAGTCCCAGAGAAATGTGGCATTTCCCCCTTGCTTCTTGTTTCCTGGCATATTCCTAGCTGAGATCTTGAGTCGTGGGAGAAAGGGACAACTTGGCACTTGGTCTCCATGTGTGAAAAGCAAGACTGTAATCTCCCTGACTAACAGTTCCAAGCTCATTTTCTGCAAGCTGCCCCCAAATTCATCCAAATGCAGTTGAAATTTTATATCAGGGATGTTTTATTTTCTCTATTTGTCCATTTATTTTGGAAAGTTGCTGGGGAAATTGTGGAAGGAGATTGGATGTTTCATTGAAGAGATAGGGTACTTGGAAAAATCAGTGGCAGACTGATAATTATTCTTACTTTTTAATGTCCCTTACAGAAAGCACGGTGGCCTGATGTGTGTTTTACTTGATCGGCTTCATGGAGCTTGTGCCTCTGACTATATTTGGAAAGGTTTTGATGTTTTTTTGTACTGATGCAATCAGGATGCTGATGGCCTGGAAATCATTTTCCTGATGTGGAGATCTACAGGGTCATGGGTAGGGGATGCCAACAGGCTGTGCCTGTTTTGGAGTGGCAGGGCTGGGGCAGAGGGAGCAGGAGCCAGGCAGAGCCAGAGCAGGGAAGCGAGCCAAGGGTTTTCCAAGCAGCGTTTAAGGCGCCGTCACGCTGCACAGCCCTGAGTGGCAGCACAGGCTTTGGACTTAGCAGCTCTCCTGCAGGGTTTGCATGTACAGCCAGTGTGGGGCTCCTTTCCTGCCCTGGTAGGTAAGTCTCACAGCTGTCAGGAGCTCAGTTTCACCAAAGCTTTGCCATGGGCTCAGCACCAAGATCGGAAGCAAAGCCAGCGGAGAGCCTGTGGCTGCCCAGACAGATCTCCCAGCGCCCTGTCTCTCCTTGCAGGGCTACTGGCATCTGCTCTGTGTCCCTTGGCTGCAAGAAGCTGGGCCTGTGATGGCCAAAGACCAGATGGCGTGTTTGGGCTGTTTTTTCCCTGCAGCCATATCTTTTCCCAGCGCAGGCTTTGCCCGGGCTGTGTGCTGGGGAGCAGGCTGCTGATGGCAGGGAGGCACAGGTGTGCAGGGACAGCCAGGCAGGGACAGCCAGGCAGGGACAGCCAGGCAGGGACAGCCAGGCAGGGACAGCCAGGCAGGGACAGCAGCAGAGGAGGAGTTTCCTGTTCCTCCAGAGACCAGCCGTGGCTGTAGGTGCCGTGGCTGTAGGTGCCATGCATGGAGGCAATGCATGCAGGGTTCTTCCCAGGAAGTCTGCAGTAGATTCTTCTTCCCCTGCAGAGAAACTGGGGAAGGGGTGCTGTAACTTGGGGACTTCAGCTTTGACTGTGGGGTAGGAGAGAGTCGGTCTTTTTGGGGCTTGCTGTCTTTTCCCCTGGGACAGGGTGGGGAGCAGCTGAGCTGCTTTGAGCCCCCATTTCTCTATTGTGCAGGCTGGCTATTCCTTGCAGTGACCACTAGCTGCTTCTTCGTCACCTTTTGGCCCCTCTGGCTGAAGGGACACCATCTTCCTCCAGCCTGTGACACCATAAAAGGGTGCCTTGAGCTGTCTTCCCTGTCTGTCCCCAGTGCACTCTTGCTAGGAAAAGGTCCTCTCTTGTCTAGGTCTGGCTGCAGGATGGGAAAAGAATGGAAAGCCTCTCAGTCTTCCTTTGTGTGGCCACTCCTTCCTCCTGAGCCCAGGCCGTTTCCCTCCTTGCCCAGTCCTTCTGTAACTAAAGTGTCTGGACCAGCAATGATTTTTTTAGCACTCTTAAAAATAATGGTGCTTCCAGTGTATTGCAAATGGTCATAGACCCGTGTGAGATACAAAGCTTTAGGAAAATAACGGGGAGGGTCTTACATTGAGTATTTCAAAGCTGAAGTGCCCTGATGGAGATGGGACTTTTGGGAGGGTGCTGCGAAGAAAAAGCTGTGCTTTGTTTAAATGCAGAGCAGCTCTCAGGCTCGCTTTGCATGCAGCAGCCAGGCAGCCTGAAGGATCGATGCTGCCAGGGAAAGATCAGAGCAGAGTCTAAAAGGCTGTTTCCTCCCCATCTGGCAGCTCCTCAGCTGGGGGGCAGGAGCATGAGCTGGCAGCAGGAGCTCTCTCCTACCCATTTGTAAAACCTAGAGCTCCCATGTCCAGCAGGGAAGCGAATACCTCTGCAGCCCTGCCATCCCTGCTGTGGGCAGCAGCGCTGCCCTCCCGGGGTTTCACAGCACCAAGGGATGGAAGAAAGGCTGGGCTGTCAGCCCTTGTCCAGGACTTCCATCTAAATGGAGCTTGTTTTGGAGCCTCTCGCAGGCTTTCCTCCCAGCCTGTGCAGAAACACCCGCTGGCACCCCTGGAGCCTGTCTGGAAAGGGAAAGGGGCTCAGGAGAACCCAGGCTGGGCTCTGTCTCTCCTGGTTAGTTTGAGCTCTCCCTGAGAGCTCTCCAGCAGCACCAGGACAGTTCCCCTCCCGCAGTGGGACAAAGGGCTCAGGGTGCTGTCCCTGGCCATCAGCTGGTGCTTACGGGCCGGGCAGTGCTGGCCCGGGACAGCATTTTGGGATTTTTCACCGCATGGTGTGGGCAGCACTGGGGCTGAGAGAGGGCAGCCTGTGGCCCTGGCCGGTGCTGCCCTGGTCCCTCTGTCCCCAGAGGCACTGGGGCAGTGCCACCAAGGCCATGAGCAGCAGGCAGGGCTTGCCAGGGTGCCAGCCTGCCCCTGTGCACCAGCTGCTGCACACGCTTCCATTGCTGATGGCCAGGATGGGAAATGCACCTGAGACCTTAATGAAAAGCTAAAAAAGTTGGGTTTGGAGGGAGGGCTGCCCTTCAGGTAGCCTTGCTTCTCCTTACAGCATGTTGGAAATGATGTTTCTGGGAATATTCCTACACTGTGCCACAGTGTGCTGACTGTGAGCCGAGACTGTAGGCAAAGGCAGAGCAAGAGGGTCTCTGGGGACCAAGCTGTTTATTTTGGATTGTGCAAATAAAGAAATGGTGATGATTTAATAGCAGGTGCTTCTTGGAGATATTTTGAGTGGCAGGCTCTGGCTGCATGTGTGTAACCAGCGTGTTGTGGGCAAGCATTTTGTAGCCCTTCATAATTCTGAGCCTCACTGTGGATTGGTTTAAGCAGGAAAGCTGGTCACAGTGTGTGAACCTTGCTTGGTGGCTGCACCTCGAAATGCTGGAGGAGGTACAACAGAGCTGGGGGATGCTGCTGCTGCCCAAAAGATGCACATTGGCATGGCTGGTGGATGTCTCTTCCAAAGCTCCAGCCATTTCTTATCCCTCTCCAGAAAAGCTCCACATTTCTTACCTCCTGACATCTGAGGGAAGAATATTATTTGTACATGGAGTGCTGGTTGGGAATGCCAGAAATATGAATTGCTCAGATGCAAGCCTCTAGGCCTTTTTTCCTCCTGCTTAAAGTAGTATGGGACTTGATTTCAAACAAACAAACAAAATAAACAAACCAAAACAAAACCCAGCTTATATTAGAATGTTTGAAAGGGGGAACACGTGGTAAATAAAATTCAAATTACTTATTAATTTGATTTTGTGGGTGTCTTTTTTTCCTGAATGAGACTTCCAGTACCCAAATCCTCTTAAGGCTGGAGAGTTGGTCCAAAGTGTGGTGGGACTCTCCTATTCTTCATGACCTAAATCAGTGACCCAAAGCATAATATTTTGCTAGAACCATCTGTTTTCTCTTCTTGCCAAGGGGATTTCACAATGCCTGATTGCTCCAAATAATTGTACATGTGCAGGGATATGACTTGCCACAGGGAGAAAAATTAACTGAACAAGGACAGGTGGATGTTCTTGAGTTTTCTGAAGAAACTACTACCCTTTAGAAGGAGAGGGTGAAGAACCCTCTCTTCAATGCAACTGAGTAATATTTTATGTCCACCATTAATTTTTTTTAAGCCTACATATTTAAAAAGGAAACAAAGCTACACTTAGGAGCTATCTGGGATTAACAGAGTAGGTACCAAGTCAGCCTGTGTTTTGACAGCCCCTTTATCAAATGTCTCCATGACTTGGTTTGGAGCAGTGTCAGACGCAGGAGTACAGATGTTGGGTGACTAATTCATGCTTCACTAAATTTCAGTGACCGTGAATGCACATCTGTTTCAGCTCAGCCATCCACTGCAGGGTGTGCAACAAGGTGCTCCTCTTTACAAACATCATGCTTGCATTTTTTTCACTTTGGGCTTGGAAGCGGTGGCTACAGCTCCCATTTGGGGAAGCAGAAGGTACCCAGGTACTACAGTCAGGGGGCAATGAGTCTGGTAGTAAGAGCTTTTTTGTAGCATTAGCAGGACTCCCAATGCTAACATCTTTCTTTAAAATCTCTCTTCCTACAGGAGACTTGCTTTTTCATGTTCAATTTATCTGTTCTTATCACCCAGCTCTCTGATTTGCTCACTTCCTCCACTATGTATCTTTTTATTTTCTTAATTAGAATACCAGGGAGTGGGGGGTTGGAGGCAGACCAACAATTCCTGGTGAGAAAATGCCATTTATATGAAACTGCCTTGATAAATTCTCAGTATTACTCTTCCAGAGCAATAATCCTGCTGCAGCATCTATAAATAAAAGCAAATGGAGGAGAGTGCTCTGATCCACCATTGCAGTGTCTCTCTGTGGAGCAGATCCCATAACGTGGGTGTGGGAGGGTTCCCATTGATTCCTCCAGCCATTGTTCCCTTGCACACAGCCCTGTCCCTGCACGATATGCCCCTGCCCCAACGAGGAGTTAAACCTTTCATGGCTGAGCTTTGTTGGCTTTTTCTTTCAGGGGTGTGGGTATTTTTCTGAGGCAAATCAGCTCAGATTTTTATATTCCCAATGAAGTCGAGGTATTGATGTGCTCATTTTCCTCTCTTCATAGAAACATTTTTAAGTACAATGTGATTAAATTAACTTGGATGGGAGAAGTGTGGTATAGCAAAGGCTGTCCTTGAGGAGAAAATACAGCTTTAATAACTAGGGATCTGGCTTTTATTGGCTAGTGAATTTGAGAATGCAACACTGAGCATGCTCAGGTTTGGTTTCTTTTTTTTCACTAAGCATCTCTTTGTACTTAAAGGCATCTGTTCTGTCAGTTTATGCACTGTTAACTAACTGCAAACCTCTTTAACAGCTCCTCTACATTGCTGGGAAATCCTGAGGCAGGACCAGGGCAAGAACGGCTGTCATGCCTGCTGACTGATGTTGTAAATGGAGTGAGAAAGGCCCTTGAAGGGGAAGCCGTCAAAGCTGACCTAGTGGGAAAAGAGCACAGGGACATGTTTCCTCTAGAAGCATGCCAAGAGAGCCAGGCTTCCATGCATATGTGGCTCTTTCCAGTCTTGGGAAGGTGCAAAGTGATGCACTGTGGAAGGAATGGCTCCAAAACCATTAATTACAGGCTGCCCTTCTGGTGCACCTTATGACCAAGTTACTGTTAAGAGTAAGGTTTTGCCAGGGCTCAGGCTCACTTTGTGCAGATTTCTGATGTGGAGTAGATGCTTGGGAGGACTGTGAGCAAGAAAGGACTGTGAAATACATAGCTTACAGTGATTTAAAAAGTAAAAAAATATTTTTAAAACATGATGAGGGGATAGTAGATTTCCCTGTCCTCTCCTGCTCTTACCCTGAATTCCACTGGAGTGAGTGCACTGTAATTTTGAAATGGGAGACACTTCTGCCAGCTGTGAAGCAGAACGATGGGCTTTAATTAGATTAGATTAGAGGAACAAGAAAATGCAATTGAACAAACAGGTTGTCAGCGAAGAGAAAGAAATGGTAGCTAAAGAGGTCGGTGCTAGCTCACTGGTACCATCTGAATCCATCCTGGTTCAGATGACTGAAGTAGAGGATTTCTACATGGAAAACATCACTAATCATAACAAAATGGGCTCATCAGCTGCATCTTCCTGAGCAAGAGGATAACTTGATCATATCTTTGGAGAGGAAAATCTGTTATCTCTGACTGGCCTCACTTAATCTTTCCTTTTTGCTCTTCAGGTTGAGGACGTTTGGGACGTGCCTGGTGGAAGCGGCCATGTCGCGAGTAACTCGCGCACGCTTCCCGGCCAGCTCCCCTCTCCTGAGCCTTGTCCTGGTGCTGCTGTTCCAGGCAGAGGGTGTGCATGCCGAGAGCCCCAGCGAGCTGCCCGCCAACGACACCGAGGAGTGCGCGGGCTCCTACATCTGCAAAAAGGGCGTCATTTTACCAATATGGGAACCCCAGGACCCCTCCTTTGGGGACAAAATAGCTCGGGCTACGGTGTATTTTGTGGCAATGGTGTACATGTTCCTGGGAGTGTCCATCATCGCTGACCGCTTCATGTCCTCCATCGAAGTCATTACGTCCCAGGAGCGGGAAATAACCATCAAGAAGCCCAACGGCGAGACCAGCAAAACCACTGTGAGGATCTGGAACGAGACTGTTTCCAACCTCACGCTCATGGCCTTGGGCTCGTCTGCTCCGGAGATCCTCCTGTCTGTAATCGAGGTGTGCGGCCACGGCTTCACGGCGGGGGACTTGGGGCCGAGCACCATCGTGGGGAGTGCTGCCTTCAACATGTTTGTCATCATTGCAATCTGTGTGTACGTGGTGCCAGATGGAGAGATAAGGAAGATCAAGCACCTGAGAGTGTTTTTTGTTACAGCGGCCTGGAGCATCTTTGCCTACACTTGGCTTTACATTATTTTATCTGTCTCTTCTCCTGGGATTGTGGAGGTTTGGGAAGGCTTGCTCACCTTCTTCTTCTTCCCCATCTGTGTGGTGTTTGCCTGGATAGCCGACAGGAGGCTTTTATTTTACAAGTACGTCTACAAGAAATACCGAGCTGGCAAGCAGAGAGGCATGATCATCGAGCACGAGGGTGACCGGCCCTCCTCCAAGGCTGACATCGAGATGGACGGAAAGGTTGCTAATTCTCATGTGGAGAACTTTTTGGATGGGACACTGGTGTTGGAGGTGGATGAGAAAGACCAGGATGACGAGGAAGCCAGGAGGGAAATGGCTCGGATCCTGAAGGAGCTGAAGCAAAAGCACCCAGACAAGGAAATAGAGCAGCTCATAGAGTTGGCCAACTACCAGGTCCTGAGCCAGCAGCAGAAGAGCAGGGCCTTCTACCGCATCCAGGCCACTCGGCTCATGACCGGCGCCGGCAACATCCTCAAGAGACACGCCGCAGACCAGGCCCGCAAAGCCGTCAGCATGCACGAGGTCAACAGCGAGGTGACCGAAAACGATCCCGTCAGCAAGCTCTACTTTGAGCAGGGCACCTACCAGTGCTTGGAGAACTGCGGCACCGTGGCCCTGACCATCGTGCGCCGGGGAGGAGACCTGACCAACACGGTGTACGTCGACTTCCGGACCGAGGACGGCACGGCCAACGCCGGCTCTGACTACGAGTTCACTGAAGGGACGGTGGTCTTCAAGCCTGGAGAGACCCAGAAGGAAATCCGTGTTGGCATAATCGACGACGACATATTTGAGGAGGATGAGAACTTCCTGGTCCATCTCAGCAACGTCCGTGTGAGCACCGAGGCCTCAGATGAGGGCGTTCTTGAGGCCAGTCGTGTCTCAACACTCGCCTGCTTGGGATCACCGTCTACTGCCACCGTCACCATTTTTGACGATGACCACGCCGGCATCTTCACCTTCGAGGAGCCAGTAACACACATCAGTGAAAGTGTAGGAACCATGGAAGTGAAAGTGTTGCGAACCTCTGGAGCACGAGGAAATGTTATTGTGCCCTACAAAACCATTGAAGGCACGGCCAAAGGTGGAGGAGAGGACTTTGAAGACACCTGTGGGGAGCTGGAGTTCCAGAATGATGAGATAGTGTAAGTCAAGGTTTTATTTGTTCCTTACAAGTCTCTGTTTCTCCTGAAACGAAATGCACTTAGCTCCCAGAGCTGCACTGGAGGTGTTTGGGTGCCAGTGCATTGCAATAAGCCATGAATGGCCTTAGGTGCTTTGGGGAGCCTGAAACACTGTGTCCCTGCCTTGCCAGCAGACTGGAGAGTGATGCCTGCTCAGGGGCACCCCAGCCTTCCCACAGCAGGGAGGTGGAGCTGCGCTGGGAGCCAAAACATGCGCTGAGCAGATCTCTGCAGCCTCAGCTCTGCAGCGCAGCAGAGAACAAAACTGAGGTGGCTGTGGCCACCCAGGCACGAGGGCTTGACCTGCAAAGGGCTTAAACTGAGTGTGTGAACTGTGGTACCTGCCTCCTGTTTCCTGCTGAGGCTCAGATCAGCCAGTACTGGGTCACAGCTGTTCTACTGACACTCTGCTCAGGGCTTTAGTGAAGGTTGCTTCACCTCTTCCTGTTCTGAAGGGTGCAGGTCTGGGTCACTGTTGAAAAAGTGTTGTCATGCAGGGAAGCCTCATGGTTAGGATGTAGCTACATCCCAATGCAGCCACATTCATCTGCTTCCAAGTAGAAAAAGGAGGCTGAAAGCTGTTGGTGGCTACTCCTGAGTGTTGCTGTTTGGATGGTGGGGGAAATTATTAGTGTTGTAGCCTTATTACATTATGTGGAGAAATTAACTTTTCTCAGTAAATCACAGTATGTCATGAAGACATTTTTTGCCCAGCTGATACTCTGGGAGGAGTAAGGATTGGGAGCTGTGTTTTTCCAGCCTGAGGCTCTTCCTACAGAGAATACAGGGACTAAGTTCTGTAGCACAACAAAAAGCACTGCATAGAACTGAAAGAAGTAACCGGTAAAGGGCACTGCTGTGTCAAGGGAGAGAGAAGTTTTGGCTTGGGTGTTATTTATTATGCTGCTGGTCTCCCAGGAGCTGAGACAAACCATGGTGAGTGCCCAGAAAGGTACTTGTGGTTTGTCTGTCACCTCTATCTGCTGTATCTGAACGAAACTTCTTCATAAAACTTCTCAAAGTAGATGGCAGGGGGGGAAAAACAGTGATTTGTAGTTCTCAGGCAGGATTTTTACCAGTTGGGATTTTGACTTCCCAGGAAAAACTGAGCAATAAAGTTCACAACTTACAATCTGGAGGCTACAACAGGCTCACTCAAGGGTCAAGAGCACATGGCTCCTAACTCCTGAATGATAAATGTAGTAGAGAGGAATGCAGTTGTTTGAATATTTTTTTTATCATTTTGGGAGAAGCAGGGAGTTGTCTGCAGAGATACAATGAACTAGGCTATAAGAATATCTCCCAAAGGCTCTTTGCTTTTTATCCAGGTCACTCAACACTATCAAAACTGGGCTAGTGGCAGTTAGACTTTGACGTTCGTGTCCAGCTCCCAGGGGATGTGACATGTTTACATGGTAGGCCAAACACACAGCCACAGGCTCTGACAGGGCGCTCACAGGGCTTGGACCAGCCTTGCCATGGATCCACCACTGTGCCAGGATCTCTATCTGTCCTCCATCCAAGACCTGTGTCTGCGCTGCCTCTTGGTGCCTGGGCTGTGATGAGAGAGGTGTTCTCCCCGGCACTGCTGTGCCTGTGGCCTCTGCTGGTGCCTTCCCTCCTCTGGGCTGCTCCCAGTGACCAAGGGGTGTGCTGGCAGCGAGCTGACCACATCCTGTGGGGTCTGTGCTGGTGTGCCTCACCAGGGCTGCAAGCCTCCTCCTTCCCCTTCTTATCACTGCAGAATGTGCACAGCAAGCAAGAAACGGGGGAAAGCAGCTTTCTGAGAAACCCAAGCGTGCCTTTTCTGTGCAGATGCCTTGTACCCCTGTTGTCTCTAAACTGTCTCTCCCAGGAATCACAGTGATGTGTCCACATCAGAAATGCCCACAGCCTGGGGCCTGGGGGTAAGAAGGTGGTGGCTGCAGGGACAGATGTTGACCAAGGGGCTCTCTCCATTCATATGGGAGAGGACATTGAAGGAAACCAATGGTACATGTTCAAATCTATCCGTGTGCCTGAAAGGCAGTAGGCATTAATCTAAATCTCAGCTGCTACAGTCCATGTTCAGGTGCTGGGTGGTACAGTCTGACTGGCAGAAGATTTCCTGCAGCCCATGTTTTGCCTGGACACAAGTTTAGGACAGCCCTGCAGCACAGAGGCAGAGAGTTCCTGATGCTGAGCTGCTGCTTACAGGCATGCTCCCGTGGAAGAATTTGCTCCAATAAAGAAGATATACTAGCACAATATGTGGATAATGGAGCTAAAGACTTTTTGCTCTGTCACTGCTTGGCAGTGCTGTACTTCAGTTAAGCCACGGTTATGTGGAATGGTGCAATTCCCTAGCACACTGGATTCAATAAAGTTCTAAATTTCCAGGTTTTCTCATGCTCTGATGGCCAAGAGATGCCTTTGCTGCCCTTTCTAAAGGTCTTTAGTGCCTCTTCAGTTCTGCCATTGAAGTCTGAATGAATCAGCTTGATAAAAAGTGAGTAAGATATGTTTCTCTGGGGCAGTAATAGCAAAGGTAGGGCAGTGCAGGGAGACATGGAGATGAAAGAAAAAGCATGCACAAGCTTCTATTTTAGAGGGCTGGCTTGCTGGTAAGTCCCAGTAAAATTAGAAAGCGCTGGGAGGGCCCTGATCTTCTGGAGACCTTCCTCTGGTTCCCAAAAGGCCTAATTACGTAACGTGTTGTTTGTTTGCAGTGTCCAGAGAGACTTTCCCATTTTGCAATCTGTTGATGTCCCCCCTTCCCAGAATACACAAAATAGCAGTTTAACTGCTGAAGCCATGCTGCTCCTGTGCATTTACTCAAACATCTCAGTCTGCTGCTACCAAAAAAAGATGTGTAATGGAGATGTTGGTCCTCCTGTGGAACATTAAACCCAGCACTACCTCTTGGAGTGGTGCTTTTCTGCTCCTTGTTCCTGGAGCACAGCTTGCAAATGTTAGCAGGTGAAAGCAACAGCTTTGAGATGAGGTTTGCATGACACATTGCTCCAAGCTTGGTGGGAAAAGGTGTCTGACTGGGGTCTCAGCAAGGCGAGTCCCAGTGATGCTGCACAGCTACCTGGGGCTCTGAGACATCAGTGCAGGGCTGTGATTTAAAGTGCCCAGCCTCAACAAGGTGGCTGCAGCCTTGTCTTGCATCTGCACTAAGGATTGCAGCTTTCTGTATGAGAACACAGAGAAGATGTGCAGTTGTAGGCCCTGCCTGCCCCTTCAGCTACTACAGCTATGGTGATCATAGAAGAGGTCACTGGTTCATCCAGTCAGTGTATTTTTATCTCCTGACTGAATGCTAAATAATTCAAAAGAAGTCCAGCTTCCTATATTAGAGGAGGAAGCAAGCTTTCCCTCGGCTGATATCCATCAGCTCTTCTCCTTTCTGTCTCGAAGCATCAGGAGGAGCACCTCTTCCAGATGTGACTGCAAAGCTCCTTGAAAACACTGTGTTCTTTCATGTTCAAAAAACATCATTTTTCTAGGGATAACATTGCAACTAGAGATCTGTCACAATCTGCTCTCCAGATGTCTGCACACACACCCCAAAAGAAAAGGTTTTACTGCATTCATGTCAGTGAGGAAGACGGTACATATGGACAACCAATTAAACTCATGTTTCACCTCTGCAGTCACACCTGTAAATGCTTGGAAAATCTTATGTCAAGTGGTCTTGCTGTTCATAATATACAGTTTAGTTGTTTTTATAAAACATATCTGCTGCAGATTTAGGAAATTACACTCTTTGCCCACTGAATTTTACTTGTCCAAGTCAGTTTTGGCATTTCTCTGGAAGCATAAATTTAGGAATGGAATACTAACAGAGACACAAACATCAGCTACATCCTCTGATTTTTTTTTTTTTTTTTTTGGGGAGAGTGTCCTCGGAAACCACATAGGCTCCCTCCCAAGAGCCCTTTAAAAATGTCAGTGTCAATAAACAGAGATGGTGGCAGGAGGGGAACCAAGCGGTACTGCTTTTTAAAGTGCCCCTTCTCCAGAAAGAAGTTGGGTCAGATATTTCTAAAGAAACAGCAAAAATAATATCCTGACTCAGCCCTGGAACCCCTCTACATCAGTTTTTCATCTCTGGCCTGCAGCTTCAGAGGAAAAAAGTAAAGCATGCAGCATGCAGTGGGATGCAGCTGAAGAGCAGGATGTCTTCTGATGTGGCAGAGAGAATGCCATAAACCAGGCTGGGAGGGGAGCAAGGAAACATTCCCCTTTTCAGGTTTCACTGATGAGTACATTCTCTTCCTCTCTGTGGTCTCTGAAGTAAATAATCTGGCTGGGAGCCCTGGTGCTCCTTTCTGATGAGGGTTTATTGAAAGGACAGCTGAGGGGGTGCGGGCTGGCTGCTCCCAGGTGGGTCAGTGTCCCAGAGGAGGGCCAGGTGAGCCTGGCAGTGGGGCAGGATCGGGGTTTTCACCCTCGGACACAGCTGAGGCTCGTCTGAGGACTCAGCTGAGGCTCGTTGGTCTGAGGACTCAGCTGAGGCTCGTTGGTCTGAGGACTCAGCTGTGGCTCGTTGGTCTGAGGGGCGAGCTCTCCTCGGCTCCTCTGGTCGCCACACGGGCTAGATGTGGGTCACTGTGCAGTCTCCACTTTTGGCTCCTTGTCTATTTGGGGTCCATTGCCTGGTAATTAATTAACTAAGTACTAATTGCTAATTAATTAATTACTAGTGATTAATATATAGTAGCACTAGGCCCTCTGGGAAACAGGAAGCCTTCTCTGGGAGCAGCTGTTGGACTACCCAATGCAGTGCAAGGGACAAAAAGGGTTTCAAACTACTTGGGACAGAGGAGCAAACAGGTAAGATGTCTTTTACAAAGGATTCTAACAGGGGTGTCAACAGCAGGGAGGAATACAGAGACTCGGGGAGTCAGCTTGGGAGGTAAACTGGGTATGGGGACAAATACATTGTGTAGGGTGCGTACAAACAAGGTTGGAAC